TACAATTCTGATCTATTTATTTGCCACTTGTTTCTTTGGCAATGGTTTTACCATCTGCACAATCAGTTAAATTAGAAACCTTAATCTTCTTAGTTTTGGGTGTTCCTTAAATCACACTAAAATTTATTTTCTCAAAACCCTACATCAACCCTAAACAAAGACAAAAGAAAAAAAATGAACGAAAACAAACCAACCAACAAAAAACAACACAAACTAAGTGCTCTGGGAACCAAGTTTCCAGAAAGACCATGAGGTCCTTAAAAAACTTAAAACTAAACATTATATTTCTGCTGGAAAGTACTATATCTGTACTATTTTGTGTTAAGTTCTTTTTTAAAAATTATTTTTATTTTATGTGTATGATTGTTTTGCCTGCATGTATATAAATGCAACATGTCTGTGTAATGCCTGCAGAGGCCAGAAGAGGGTGTAGGATCCTCTGGAACAGGAGTTATGGAGGATTGTTAGCCACTATGTGGGTGCTGGGAACTGAACCTTGGTCCTCTGGTAGAGCAGTCAGTGCTCTTAACTGCTGAGCCATCTCTCCATCCCCCATGTGTCGGGAGCCATAGGCCCCTACCCCAGAAAATAGCAAGACCTGATTCCTGGCAAGGCTGTTTTTCAGACATCAAGGCTGGCCTGGTTTGAGATTAACCAGATGACTATACTTGAAAGCCTCTCACAAACATGTTGTTCTAACCTGGGCACTTAACGCCTGAGAGACTCCCTCATTTCTCATGTAATTGCTAAGAAACTTTGGTGTTACTCTGTAATCATACAAGTGTAACCTCTTAATTGATTTATAACTTGCTATATAGAATTGTGATGTTACTATGGAATTTACTCTGTGATCAATCGGTGTGGTGTCATTGTGATATTCGTTCTGTTAATTGAATTGCTCTACTTCAATGGAATTTTCCCTGCCAACTTCCCCCTCTCCTCCCTATAAAAACTTTGTGTGAATGTTCATTAAATGAGACTTGATCAGAAAGCCTGTCTTGTCTCCATTCTTCGCATCCCTTGTCCCTTTCCGTCCCCTCTCCTCCCTCCAGAAACCCACGTTGACTGTCCTGCGGGTCGGGACACATCTCCACTACCTAGTTTTTACAGTACTAGAACATGCTCTGCATACTACTGGAAGAGAAAAGGAATCATCTGACTTACCCTGTTACCAACCCTGTGAGTTACAATAATGACCAGTCTGGCATTTGTGCAATAGTGGCATAACCATTATGGGAGTAGCTAACCACCTTCTGGTTGGATTTAAGGCACACTTCACAAAATGGAGCCCAAACCTGGTACTGTCGGCAGAGTCAAAAACCTGTAGCTAAACAGGTCACAGACCATAAGGGAGAACCTATTACTATTTTTCTGCTGAATAGGCATAGCTTTGACTGCTAATGACTTGTTTTACCCATAGATTAGTGCATCCTTCAACTCTCACCAATGATGTTTCTTTTTGCAGCAGATGGCAATTAACACAGAGATAACAGCTGGTCAACATGCAGAAATAAGACTGTGGAGTGCTCATCCCTAAATGGGATGCCAATATCACACCCTTTCCTTCCAAGGCTTAGGAATCATTGCAGAAGACAGGCAGAAAGGTTGTAAGAGCTATAGATTAATACAAGGAATCCATGTTTTCTGCATACCACAGGGCAATTGAATATATGAACCCACAGCATTTTTAACAGCATGCAAAAAATCTGTGCAAGTCTAAGCCAGACAAAAACCCAGCATGGATGGGGGAGATGAGCAAAAATCCCCAGCCCTAACTGAGGACCTTTTAGGCAGTAATAGCTGCTGGGAGAAAACTGACCCTCTCCTTTTCTTTAAGGGTATGACACCTGGTAGGTTAATCAGACTCCAAAGGATAGACCCACACACAAGAGCATTTGGCAAGCACAAATTAGACTAGAAAGATCTTTAAATAAAGAAAAATAATAGTGACTTGAAGTGGTGGGGGGATAATAAGGTAAGGACAGAGATGAGGGAGGAGGTCTGAATACAGTCAGAATACAATTGCATGAAATTCCCAAAGAATCAATAAAAATATTTTTAAAGGGTTGAAACAGTTATTACTACAAACTTAAAATCATTTCATGTGTATCTCTCCAATCACCTGGTATTTTTCAGTGAGCCATTTATATCTAACTTAAAATGGAAACAATGTTATCCTCACTCATTTTTAAACTTAAGAAATTCAAGTATAATAAAAAGCCACAGTAAACAATACAGCTAAGATTCAACATTACATATTTTGAAACACATTAATGATGTCAATGCCAATTTGGAGAACCATTTAAGATCAAGTTGCTTACCTTTCAATAGCTAATTCTTTGTTAGAAAGTTGCTGAACTGTAATCACAACCTTCTTCTCTATTCCTTGCTTTAGTTTGAAATAAAATTTATCTCTATCCTTAGGAACAGGACTGAAATATTCAGAAAGAATAAAAATTATCAATATAATAGCAGAATAAAATGATTAAATAACCTATTCCAAAGTAAGAAAAAAACAACAAAGTATTAAACCAACAACAATCACTTAAGAATCACTAAACCTCCCCTTGCCTTGGATAGAAAACAATAAATTTTATAATCAGCAAGACAAAGTTTCTATACATTTTGAAAATAGATTCACAAAAGCATTATATTTTATCTCCTAACCAAGAGCAAATGTAATATCTAAAAAATATGACAACATGGTATAATTTCAAAGTGAGCTTTTAAATTATAACGAAAAAAAAAAATTTTTTTGTCTTTTTGAGACAGGGTCTCCCTGTAGCCCCAGCTGTCCTGGAACTCACTATGTAGACCAGGCTGGCCTTGAACTCACAGAGATCCACCTGCCTCTGCCTCCCGAGTACTGGGATTAAAGGCATGTGCCACCATACCCAGCCAGTATAACAAACTTTTAAATATAGTTTTTTGTTTTTGTTTTTTTTAAGATTGGCACATTTCTGGTTAGCTGGTTGGGTGATCGTGAGCACAGTTACACTTAAGGAAAAAATAGTAAGAACACTTTCTTGACACCTAGAATTTGAGATGATTTTAACATATCCAAGTAAAACTAAATAAAAGATAGAGAAAGAGGGGCTGGTGAGATGGCTCAGCAGTTAAGAGCACTGACTGCTCTTGCAGAGGACCCAGATTCGATTCCCAGCACCCACATGGTGGCTACGAACAGTCCTTAACTCCAGTTCCATGGGAATCCAACACCCTCTTCTGACCTCCACGGCATTATATGACATGGGTGCACTCACATACACACATACATGTAGGCAACACACTCATACACATTAAGAGATGAGAGAGAGAGAGAGAGAGAGAGAGAGAGAGAGAGAGAGAGAAACAGATCATGGCAAGTTAATAAAATTTTAACAAAGTAACTATTTTCATAATGACTAAATCATTATAGAATGTATGGTTAAAATCTGTTATCTTAGAAAAGGAAAAATGCTTTCAGCAACTTAATTATTCTCACATTCACTTTTTTATTGGTAAAAAATCCAGATAAAATACCTACCTAGCAATTATCGTTGAAGATACTGTTCAGACATATAAGTGATCATTAAATAGTATAACTATTTCCTATTAGTTGCTCATTTTTTAAATAGAAAAAATTTAAATGTATAATAGAACAAAGTGGGTAAATGATAGTCAAACCATATAATATACTACCAGTAATCAATAGAAATGATTCTAGGAATACTTTAATGAAAATTCTTATAGATAAGAAAAATGTACATAACTAACTGTATAAAAATCCCCAACAAATAAAACAAAGGGAATAACTTAATTAGTTGAGGATGGTGGCACATACCTATAATCCCAGCACTCAGGAGATAGAGGGAAGAAAATCAGGAGTTCAAAGCCAGCTTCAGTTACATAGAGAGCTCAAATGCAGCCTATGCTACAATAAGATCACTTCTCAAAATAATAGTGATATTAATTAATTAAGAATAAATTAAATGTTTAAAGTGATTCTCCATGGCTGACAAAATTATAGCTTTGTATCCTTTTTTATTGATTTACTAAATGTCCTTAGTGAATTTTCTGAATCACTAAGAAAATAATGTAATAGGCTGCAAGATGGCTAAGAGGTTAAGAACACTGGCTGCTCTTGCAGAGGACCTGAGTTCGGTTACCAACACCCACATGATGGTTAACAACCATGTGCTCTATGTAACTCTAGTTCCAGGGAATCCAACGCCCTCTGCTGTCCTCCATGGGCATTGCATACACAGGTGCATTTACATACAAGAAAGCAAAACTCATAAAATAAATAAAAAAAATTTAAGGAAATCATTTAAACATCTGAAAAGTATGAAAATGGTGGAACAATCATTCACCAGGCAAATATTTCTTTACAAGTCAAAACTTATAAGCCAATATACTCTCATTTCTAGAAAGTATTAGCCAATTCTATATTTCAGGCACAATGCTAACTTTCTTTTCAGATTATTCTTTTCAAATAATCTCACCTAAAGTTTCCTTTTCCATCATCTTCTTTTACCTCCAAGGAGACACTGAAAGTAAATACATCACTGTCGGGAGTCGGAATGATAGAATCTTTAACATCAGACACTTGTCTAGAAGAACGTTTGAATGCTGTACAGAAACTATACAAAATTCTGCTTACCTAAAAGAATGAAAAAGAAAATAGAATTAGGCAAAAACCCTAATTTAACTGTGATAGTCTTGTGAGTCTGTAACTTTCTATGACCTTAATTTTCTTTAAAACAAAAAGTATATCTAACAATCTATCAGTTATTTGGATACTATATAATGAAATTTTCATCAGTTATGCATTAAAAAGGGGTGGGAAAACAACCATCTACAGTAAATGTAACCATCCTAACTCTAAATTATTATGCCTGAAGATTATTATTAGCATGAAATCCAAGACAGGAAATATTGTTAAAAGTATCCCTCAAAAAGCATATTAGTTCTACAGAAATTTTAACCATATGAAATCAATAATAGGACATCAATTAACAGAAACTTAAGTTCAAGTATGAGGTATGTTTTCAAACCTATACAGATAAAATTCAACAGTAAGCAAAGGGCTGGAAAGAGGGCCTCAGCAGTTAACAACACTGGCTGTTCTTGCAGAGGACCCAAGTTCAATTCCCAGCACCAACACATGGTGACTAAGAACTATTTGTAACTCCAGTTTCAAGGGATCTGACACCCTCTCCTGACCCCCGTGGGCACTGCATGTCACAGGTGCACTTATATACATGCAGGCAATACACTCATATACATAAAAAATAAAAATAATAAAACATTTTTTAAAAATCAACAGTAAACACCATCAATATATAAAGCCTAGAGATCAGAAGAAATCTAACATTGAAGAACTGCAACTAGAATCTCAGATCCTGATGATAAAGAAAGCAGCAAGTGGGGTCCATTCAGAAAAGACAAGAGTTGATACTGAGAATATTCAGAACTGCTCTCAGTTTGAACAAATACACAAAAAGCATAACCAGGGAAAAAAAAGTTTTTAGTACCAGAGGAGACCATTTCGTTATTGTACAACATTTTCTCTGAAAAGCTTGTTCACAAGAGCTAATTAAGACAAAAAAGATTCCCATCAAAGACACTGCTATGTATACTATTGGTCAAGAAAAAAGTATTACATTATTTTATTTTATTATAATAACTTCTTCTCAATATGGACAGTCAGGGTCTCTTTGGTGTACATACATGAATACATTGGTCTGCCAAAGAACAAAGATGTCATCTGAACTACCAATAATTATCCCTAACACACACACACACACACACACACACACACACACACACATATATATATATAGCTACAGATAGTTATTTAGTTTAACAAGTCAATTTATACATGTTACTCCATTTGATAGTTAATAAGAGACTTACAAAGAAGGCTTAACAAGTATTTACAATATTTTTCCAAATCAGCAAAGTGGGGATGATGTGATTATTAAGAGACTGGGCTAAGGGGGATGGATAGATGGCTCAGCAGTTAAGAGCACTGGCTGCTCTTGCAGAAGAGCTGGGTTCGAATCCCAGTACCCACATGGCAGCTAACAACTCCAGTTCCAGGAGATTAAAGACCCTCTTTTGATCTCTGTGGGCACCTCACAACACAGGTACAGTTACATGCAGGCAATATATTTATACACACAAAAATAAATAAAGAAAAAATATTTTAAAGAGAGAGAGATGACTGGGCTACTTGTAAATATAAGGATACATATTTTTGCACATACTAATAAATTATATTAGTCTAGGGATGTTGCAGTCTTGGGGTTTTCTCTAAGATCTATGACCATTCCAGACATGTGTATTTGGTTATGTTTACAGTACCACACTTGACCCACCCAGGGACCATCAAAGAGAGAGGGCAGAAAGATTGTAAGAGCCAGAGAGGAGGTGCAGGACCATATGGAAACACAGTCCTATGAGTTCCTGGGAACCTGCTCATATGATTCTACAATAATGGCATCAGCATACACAAGTCCCATGCAAACTCAGGCAGACAAAAACCCAGCATAGAATAGGGAAAGTGAACAGCAGAGCCCAATCTTATCTGAAGAAATATTAGCAACTGATTGCTGCTAGGTGAAGAAGAGCTGATCTTCCTAAACAAGGGACTCTAGATAGGCTGACTAGGCCTCAGTGGATGGACTTGCACTGGGGAACATCTGGGGACACTGACTTGACACAGTGAGCCTTAACATGGATGACAGAGTATATGGGCTCCAGTGGGGGAGGGGGGCTATGGGAGGGTGCCAGTGGGGAAGGGGATATAAAGACAAGTAAGATTGTTTGATATTTTCTGTATGAAATACACAAAAGTTCAATAAAAACAAAATTTAAAAATACAAGGGAGGGAGGGAGGGAGGGAGGAAGGAAGGGAAGAAGGGAGGAAGGGAGGAAGGGAGGAGGAAAGGAGGGAGGAAGAGGTTGGACTAAGTCTAGAATTAAGTGCTGGGAACTTTTCAAAGAAGTTAGTCTTTAACATTATTTTGATTAGTTTCCTGCTATCAATGACTTGCTCTCGCAGAGTAGTAGAGAATCCAGGTCAATGAGTATACTTATATTATGTGGCCAGATCTCACAAATATGACCAAGTGTGTTCATACTGAGCAATGGTAGCCTCAATAAGAAAGAATCCTGAAACTCAAAGTCATCTTTCAATCATTTTTACTTTCTTTCTTTAAACTCTGGCATTTTAATAAGTTAATAAACATGAAAAACAACAACAAAAAAGTCAGGCATGGTGTATAAATGTCTCTAGGCTCCAAAATGCTACAAAATATTGGAACAAATGGATCCTAAGATAATGACTAAAATGAGGGTAGCATCTACATTTTCTGAATGAACACTCACAACTTAGGTTTTAGCTCAAGTCTTCAATTTCTCTTTTCATTTCCCTCAGCTTCAGCAGGCTCGATACTGAGCCACAGAATAAAAGAACTGTTTCAGTATGTGGTAGTATATACTAACATGATCTGAAGAGCTTTCAGTATTTTTACTGAATGACTTCTAAGATGAAAAATACTGAAATTGTTTTACTCTATTCTATTAGTAAGAGGTCACACTAAAGAACTTTATTTTTTATTTATTCATTTATTTATGGTTCCTCTTTTCCCCAAGAAGGGGTAAAGAACTATAAATACTATACTTCCCAAGAGCTAGTCTCTTCCTTGACTCCAAAAGAAACAACATGGCTAAATCTCAACCTTATGCACTAGAAATACTAAAGACTTCAAATCTCTCAGTCTATGTACAGGTTGACTAATAAAAACAAGGTGAAATGAGAGGGGTTAAACAAAGGTCTTAATTTCAATACTCCACATTGTATAATTGTATAAGATTTCACTAATATTAACAAATTTTTCTATTTCAAAGTCAAATTATCAATAAACAGATTAATCTAGGACACACTACTCTTTTTAATTTACTTAAAACAAGATTACTCTTTAAATAGCAGAATTTGCTGAACTGGGAACTTGGGCGCAAGCAAGGTGCATACACTGACCCCAACACTGAAAAACAAAAGGATGGAATTAGTTAAAGTATGGGGTATTACTTTATCTTATTTTACTTTGTTTTCATAATGTCTTCAAGATGTTATTTTCCATCTTTTATATTTATGTATATTTTTATTGAATTTTTGTGCATTTCATATAATAGATCTTAATCGAATTTAAAGCCTCTCCTCCATCCATGGTTCCCATAGCGCACTCCCCTGCCTGAATTTCATATATTCTAGAATGAACTTTCTCCTTTAGACATACAAAAATCCCTTACACTTAAAAGCAAGTGTCCTCAAACTTTACAGACACACACACTTTCATCAATCAGAGCTTAACCTAAACTACTTTTCTAATACCAAATTGATAGTTTCTTAAATCAACTGATAAACATTATTATCATCTCTACAAAATATTCCTGCAAGCACATAAAGTTCATATTTATATCACAATATTTGTAACTTATACATATTTATTGTTATCCCATTATGATAGCGTATAAACAAGTAAAATTAATAAAAATAGCAAAGGATTAATAAAAAACAACAGGTCTCAAGACATGCAATTAAGAGAATGATAAATTTACTCATTCAACAAATTTATCCGCATTTTCTATGTACGAAGTACTATTCTAGGTACTGCAGATACAGTAGAGAACATGGAATTCACATTCCAACAAATATAATTTAAATGTGCTTTGGTTGGGTAGGAAAGAATCACTAGGTAAGCCAAAAACCCAGAAATGTTTAGCCTAAGTTGCACTTTTAACTGTAATGTAGTCCATTAATTTAAATGTTATAGAAGAAAACAGAATCAAAGAACATGTCAGAAATGTGCCACTGAAGATTGCATCTACAGAGTAAACTATAAACAAGGACTATACTTTTTACTTCTTTGAGTTTTTAGTTCACTTCCTAACCACAAATAAAATGTGGTCTATTGTCAACTTTATATATAGCCAACTTCAGTGTATTTTAAGGAAGCACTGTATACAAAAATAGTGGAACACCTGTAAATAATTTTAGAAATAGTCTAACTCCAACCATATGTGCTCTTTTTTCTCCTTTCTCATCCATTCTATAAACACTATTTTTGTGAGGGAGCTACCAGCAAGTTTGCCTTATCAGAGGCTACAATAAAGCTGTCTAAAAGTTGGGCAAATTCTAAAGAAGCTGAAAATGGGAATATGAGGCTAACCCAGAGTGGGGGATGGGGAGAATATATCAGACTGCACACCTTTCCTTCTTCTGGAAGAAAATGTACATCATATTAACTTCATTGACAGCAATCAAACTACATTTAGTATTGATCATATCTAACAAATTGCTATTTTGACCAAAAAAGATTAAGACCATTTATGAATTCTAAAGTGAATGAATAGAATAAAATGTGATCTAAAGATTAGTAAGGTAAATTTCAGAAACAATGATTATCAATAGCTATGGTTCTTAGAGAAAACTGAATAATCAATCATATAAAGTAAGTTAAAAGTATGTGTACCATCATAAATAAACAGTGCAATGCATGTCACATTATTAGAGCACATACAAAGATAATCTAAAATTGGCTTTTTTGCAGAAGGCATTTATTGACAATACAATACAACTTTATCCACAGAAAG